GTAACAATCCATTTATAATTCCTATTTTGTTGGAGAGAGGATGGTTTGATAAATACTTTAAAATCCTACCAGAACTAGTGGGTTTTGAATACCAATTTGTAATAAGGGTACCATCAGGTTTGCGATGGATCTCCATATCCAGGAAACATATTTTGTTACCATTTTCTATCTCCATCGTGAATTGGAGTGATGGGTGGAAGCTGTTGAAGGTGTCTAGTAGTACATTGAGTTGGTCTTGAGGAGCTGACAATACTGTATCATGAACATAGACAAATATGAATGGGACATGGAAGTGTAGTCTTTTCAAAACTTCTGTGATGAGATGATTCATGACTAGATTAGCTAAAATTGGTGATGCAGGATTTCCCATAGCTGACCCATCTTTTTGTAAGTAAATATCACCATTATAGGATAAATAACTTGTGTCAAAGCAATAATTTATTAGGTCAATTAAGTATTTTTTAGGAATGTCTGTGTAGTTTGAAATAAATCTGTGTTCAGAGTTAATAATATCCAAGACTATTTTCTTTGGTATGTTTGTGAACAGACTAATTACATCTAGGGACACTAGGACATGTCCATCAGGTACTACATGTTCCTTTATTACCTCTGCGAAAGCAATAGTTTAAGTAAGTACTGAAAGGAACAATTTATTTTATTTTATTTATTTATTTATTTTGGCTTAAAAGTTGTAATTAACTCACAACAGTATATTTATTGTTGTACTAAGTGCTTGTATTTCCCTTTTCCAGGGCTTGAAAAAGGAAAAATATATTCCGAAACGTTGCCAAAAGCTTGATAGTTTCTTTTTTGGTCCTGTCCTCTAACCCACGAAATTAAAACATAAAATACATATGTTTTCTTTTCTATTATGTCCTCATTAAAATAAAAAGAATTTATAAAATTTCAAGTTATTTTCGTTGGCGCGAAAACGATTACCTTCAAGATGTCGGTACTTGTGACGTCAACTGTTTGTAAATACAACGTTAAGGTCTGTCCTCACAAGAGTCCCTGACACTTTGCAAACTGTCAGAAAAAATCGCTCGTACCATCGACTGCATTAAATCTTTGCATGGAATGTGGTTTTTACGTGGTGTTTCTGTATTTCGCGTATTGTGACATTTTGTGTTTCAAGTTTGTCATGATTGATACAGGATTTACAGAAGCGCAGTCTGACAATCCCTCTATAGACCCATTTATGGTGATTCAATATCAGTCGTGACATGACGTGAGCTGATCGTGGACCAATCGTTCTTCAGGACCCAAGAGTGAACCATGAAAGCGTAGACCACGTTCGTTACTCACGGTCAGTGTAAACTACCCTTAACCTTGGTTTATGAACAGTTGACGTCACCAAAAGCGGCCATGTTGAACGTAGCTTTTCCGCGCGAAACTTTTCAATTTGAAACGAATAATTGCCGTATGAGAATAATATCCATAAATTAAATGCAAAACTACTCATATTCAATATTTTACAGAAAAATGTGCACCATAGAAACAAAATGAACCATATTTATTTCTTATGAGAATTCCCTATTTCTTGATTGAATCTTTCTTGAAAATGCTTTAATTTAATGTTTATTTTGGCTTCGGTTTCGTTGAACTTTGCGAGGGCTGAAATCATGAACTTGGTTTGGTTTAGGATGCTTTCATTAACTGTTGTTGATTTTTATTTAGTGCATCTATATCTTGATACACTTCATCGTTGACGCCGAAGTCGTTAAACATTTTCCAAATAATATTCTTTACCTTCTTTGGTGATGGATGCTATAGAAAGTGCCAGATGCCCACATGGTGTGATTTTTTAATTGTTCTGAATGGTGTAATAATGAAGTACATTTGGTTACATTTTACTTCATTTGTAATTTCGTTTGACCTGTTATACAGTGTTTTAAACTGACGAATAACATTCGATATTGCCATATTTTCTAGTTGGCTACTATTTTTTGAGTTCACTATTTCCGCATGCGGAAGATACCTCGATCGATTCTAGATAATCCGATATGCTCTACGTATATTCCGTATTGAGGGTAGTTAATTCTGAATCTGCTTTCAGCCATGATAATGGAAATAAGCAAGTAATGCCAGTTGGAGATGTTGTCACTGCAGTTTAGACGATGTCTGGGTTCTAGTGTCTAGTTATTCGCGTTAGATCACTTGTTGCTGAGTAGTTTGTAATTTTTGAAGTTGTGAGGTTCTCGTCTCTTTCTATTGGAAGTGGAATTAATTTATGAATCGACCTTCTGGTAATGGTTGTCATTTGATTGTAAAATTCTTAATAAGCTTATTCTTCTTCCGTAAATTGATGAGTTGGAGTAACTTCTTCGATCTCCCAGAATTTCGTCAACTGTTCGTCTTCTTTAGACCGAGAAACTTCAACCAAAGCATTGAAGTAGTTGAAAATACTGGTCCAGATATAATCAATCCTAGCTCAGTATTTTGTTTCGAGAGACCCTCTTGAGTTTTCTGAAGATTATTCAAAATATTTGTGGCATATTCTTTTGCTCCGAAAATCCCATCTATAGATCCAGGTGTCAAAACGTAGGATCTGTTAGAATTTCATCTTTCCATGTATTGATGTTTTTTATGTGTAGAGGTTGCCTTGACATGGTTAACCTTGGAAGAATTATCATGCTGACCTTCATGTAGAGCGTAGTTTTGAATCGTGGCGTATCTATTGACCATTTTCAGATCTTGGGCTTTCCATCTCCCATGCCAAATATCGAAACTCTAATATGACGTCGTGGAAGTCATAAACGTTGTGTTGCTTCTTCGGTGATGAAGGATGATTGTGATCTTTGGTCAATTAAGATTCTCAAAGGCTGTGGCAAACTTTGAGTTTAGACTTGTACGAGGGCTGTTGCTAGTAAAACATTTTCCTCATCTTGGCTTGCATGATTTGTCGTACTATTTAGTTACCGGTTGGAATTGCTCGCCTGTTCTTCTTTGGTAGATATTCTGTGGGGTTGTATTTTAACTATTGCCATTCGAAGCGAAATTTCTCCGTTGGGAATCCTTTGTTCGTTGCTGATTTTGTTGATTCCTGTCAACATGCAAAAGTGTATGATGTTGACGGCTGCAAATATTACATTTTGTTTGGCTGACGCATTTCTTCTGAACATTGTGGCTTGAACAGGTTTGGAAGATATGCTTCTCCTGCCTCTCTTATGTGATAACATGGCTTTAGGCTTTTGGCAGTGGTAGGTCATATGATTTTGGTGGTGTACCAGCACTTTGACCGGATTTGATTTCCGTGGTTGATACTGTTTCTAATGATTGAAACTTCCTTTCTAAGAAATTAATTATTTCTTTGAAATCTGGTAGGTACTTCATGTGGTGTTTGTGTGGACAGAATTTCTTTGGTCGGATGGCTGGTTGATCAAACAGACGTTTGGTCGAGCAGACGTTTGGTGGACGAATTTTTGTTCCGTTGGATGGATGTTAATTTCTGTTTGGATGACTATGTGTACAAACTGAGTTGTGGACGGATTGACGTATGGTCAAGGAGGTTTGGACACAGTAAATTGTAGGATTGAGAGACACCGTACACTGGTTGAATCTCATTTATTGAGTTTGATACATCCTCTTTTATATAAAATCTATATTATTATTACGTGATATTTTGATATAACTATAATACAGTGCGAGGACGCAAATTATTTTATATCGTGATATTCCTAAAAATATCCTATGCTTATAATCTAGTTTTCTTGTATGATATAATAAACTTGACCTCAATTGGCCAATCCACCATTACCTCATACTCGACTGAAGCGTACTTCACTGTCCTTTTAGAGATAATAATTTGTTAGATATTTGGACAAATTATTACCACAGGAAGAGACCTTTCAACAACCATTGAAAAAATTTGCTAGCACTTGAAGCTTTTCCTTATCGTTTTGTTGAAAATAATATTTTCCTCTTAAGCAATTTTCTCCCTAACTTTGTAACATCATATTTATAACTATACAAGTACCTACCTACAATAAGTATTTGCCAGAGTTTCATACTCATATTTATTTTTCCGCTTATACGCCTTCTTGGTTATATACTACTGTTGACTTTGAGATTATGTAACGAGAAAAGAAATATACGATATAATATATCGATTAACACGTATAAGGGCTTCTCGAGACCAAAACCGAGATTGTGCCGGTCTCGATCTCGGTCTCGGATAAACGGTCACAATCCTGATAGTCTCGGTCTCGATAATTTTATATGAAAAATAGCAGGTGTTTTTCCACCGTCATGAAACAGGAACTATCAGAATTTTCTTCTCAATAATAAGTTGATGTAATTTTTGATGCGTGTGATACATTAGAACAAAAAAATCTAGGGTCCTATCTAAAAATATCCAGTGATATACCACGATAAGTCGGATTTAAAATGTAGCAGCTCCATCAGGTAGATGGTAAAAACAATTAATTTTGAATTTGAGTTCTTTTTTCAAATAAGACAAGAAAATAATAAAAATGATAAGCTATTTTTGTAGTAGGTATTGATCGATATTATTGATAATGTTACATAACAGTGTTTATTACAAATGTTCGCTACCTCCTTATTACCGATATCGATATTTTTCATTTCCGGAGCTTTTAAGGCTTTAATCATCGAACAAAGTTTCTCCCGTTTTCTCTTGTACGCTGCATTCTCATATTCCAAAATTCCTATAGTGCCGATCATATTTCATCTAACATTTTTAAGTTAGTTGAAACTTTCTATCGCATCCTGTTATTTCATTGTGTGGAAACAAATTCTCTTTTTATATTTATTTGTTGTTTGAAGATAATAACACTTCTCTTCTTGAAGCCATGTCAGTGTAACCTAAAACTGCTCTTACCAAAATATTGTATGACAATAGAAAGATAACGTGTTTATTAGGTAAAATAGGAGGAGGAAGTGCAAGCTCCATTTTTAAATACTCAGCTTGAACTGAAAAAGCATTCAGCAGCCGTCTAGCTCGAATTGTACCTAATTCAAAGTTTTTTTCTAATTTTCAGATTTGTAGTCCAAGCTGTTATGGCACCAGTGAGCCAGCTTTTGGTTTACTACGTCACGCCAGAAGGAGAACCGATCAGCGACGTAATCAGTTTCGACGTAAAACTATTCAACAAAGAGGTGAGTTAATAAGTTATGGGTAAAGCTCCGTTTTTTCAGGTATTTCACATTTCAATTTTTATTATTCAGGTGTCTGTGAATATCGAAAATCGGGATTGGTGGCTTCCTGATCAATCGATAGACCTAGAAGTTATTGCAGAACCTTCGTCTTTGGTGTGTCTGCTGGGAGGAAGGTCTGAAGCAACGGGAGACCTGAGATTTGACCCAAGAATAAGGTATTTATTCATTTATAAGGAATTGAGTTTTTATTATAAGGGGAATCCATACCCATGTTTCTCGATTTATCAGTTAAAATAATGGCAATGAAAGCTTAGAGGATTGTCTAGAATAGGTATGATATATTAACAAATAGATCAAATATCAAATCCTTTATTCAATTTACCTGTTGTGTTGTAATTTTGTTTAATAAATTTTAGTTCGGGTGCATTTTGCAACTCCATAGTTTGGGCTTATGGCAGAACACCGTGAGTTGCAACATAAACTGATCTTGGTTTTATTTGAAGCAGGCCATTTTGATCAGTTTCCCTGTAAATTAACTGGTTGCTTTTCTCTATTCTCTTCTAGTCCTAGGTTTAGAACCCTTGGTGTTGATAGGAAACCAAAAATTTCAAACCCAAAACGCTTAAAAATTCCCTCTCTTTTTCTCCTTTGCAGAATTTGTATAGTGTCTTTTTCTCTAATATAGTCTATTCCCAATTAAAAATGCTTATATTCTTCCATAATTTGGTCTGGTCCTACTAAGCAAACGTCATCAACAATAAATATATACAAATTCTGTTTTAATGTTTTTAATGAATACTAACATTAAGACTTCCTGATCATCTAGTTAACATGTCAATTGAACATTTATTGATTTGCTATAAGTATATTATATGCGGACCTTCAGTCCTTCTTTTAGGTAAATATACCTCATCATGGATAGACATAGATTTCATGTCCTGAGTTGTTTTTCAATCGAGACCAAAGTAATGATGGTTGTAATTTCTGAAACTGGTACTCAAATCTCATCATAATGGAATGGAGCTTGTCGTACTAATACTCAAGTGCTAGGACCTTTAAGAAAATAAAGTTACTTGGGCCACGTTGCCTTTCTTTTTCATCAACCCTAATATTCTATTATTTTCTCGAGTTGTCAGTGATAGACGTTAGGTTAGAAATTATTATAATTAAAGGTGATTGAAGGCTGTGTGCGCATTTATATGTACCATCGTCACCAAAAGTAACTGGGACAGCATCACATTAGCTCTTGTCCTATTATACGAATTTTATTGTCAAATATTTGTCAAACTATGCATTAAATGCATTGAAATGAATGACAGTAGAATTAGTCCAGGAGATTATTATGCATTATTTGTGTCCCAGATACTTTTGGTGACGATGGTACATAGAGAAGGAAAAACCAATTTTGTATTCTGTGCATGAAAATTATTTATTAATAGCAGAGCGCTTTCGGCTTTAGGCCATCCCCAGTGCTTCCTGAAAGCAAGGAAATAACCTTGTTATGATTTTAATTTATTTTGATTGAATTAATTGGTTAATTACTTATTTTGTCAGGAGTACATTACGCTAGAAAGGGATTTCGCGTCATTGGTATACAAATACCTAACTATTATGTGAGACTGTAGAGACGTGAGGACAGTGAAGTCGTGAAGTTATTTGTGAAGTTGAGACGAAAAATTAACTTGAAGAGACGATTTTTATGATGCCAGAGATGGATTCTACGGTGGTACTTCAACAGGAAGACGCAGGAACCCAGGTACTAGGAACGCAGTTAATAGACAGGTAGAAATTATTGATTTGAATGAGCTTTTTTGGAACATAATGATAAAAAAAACGTAGAGATGAAATGATCGAAATGTTGGCAAATCAGATGATTACGAACAGTGGGGCAGCACCTGCGCAGCCAGCTTATTACCTCATAGCCTCCGAACACTCAGTTTCTGTGTTCCCGGAAATTTTGAGAAACATTGGGAATTTTGATGGAATCCCTTCGAAGGCGGTTTTGTGGTTGGACACAATTAATAGTGCCAAACTCTACACCCAATTTCAAACAGAGATAAAAAAGGAGCTAAATATTGGCATTCGACTAAGCGTAATGAAATTTTGACATGGAAAGATTCTGTAGACAATTTCAGTGTTACATTTTCGCCTAAAGAGAGCTTGGCAGTGAAATTTCAGAAAAGGGAGAGCAGAATTCTGGGCAAAAATAAATGTTTAAATTTATATTTGCATGAAAAAATGAAGTTATGCACAGATTTAGGCCTAGAAATAAATGAATTCAAAGAGCAAGTGCTTATTGGGTCACATTTTCGATCAATCTACGATGTAGGTAGTGTGGGTAAAAAGGCTTTACAGCATAGATACATTATTTCAAGACTTGCGCAGCTACGCAGACATTGAAAGTAGGCGTCAGCAGCGTTTTATTGGCATGTATAAAGTTAACTTCGATAGAACTAACTTGAACAAGGAAAACATGAATAATGCTCAGGAAACAAATGAGAAGCAGAATCATGCACCACAGACATTGAGTAATGAGGCAGCTTAGAAACCACGCCAAGCTAGTAGTACCCGAATAGAGGGTCAACAGAAATCCTCCAGATATATGCCTCCTAGAAATGCTAAAGACAAGCCCCTTTGCTTCAAATGCAAGAAATAAGAGCACATCTGGAAATATTGCTCCCAGAATCAACCTTCAACCTCCCCTCCCCACCGGAAGTACTACAGACGAACCAGCGAACCACAGCAATAGCGGTAAACTAACAAAAGAGAAATTACTGAAGTATTTTTAGAAAGCAACTGTCAATGAGAACAGCATAAAACCTTATATGGACTTAGGTATATTGCAATATGCTGAGATTAACAGATGCTGAAAACATAAAATTGAAGTATGATAAACTGAGAAGTGGCATGCGGATCAAAGGTGCTGGAGAAGGAAAAATCAAGCCGTTGTGCATAACTAGAAATGTTGACATAGGTTTACACCAGGCACATGCTAGAACTGACATTTACATAGTATCAGCTCAACCAGCACAAATATGTTTATTAGTATTTTATATGCTGCTATATAGCAGTATCGTAAGACATTTTACTCGTATACAAATTCTTATAGTTATCTGATAGGCAATTATAATACACTTAAAAACACGAAAACGGACCACTTTATAAAATATATCTGTCGTATTGAAATGCTTATAATGATCGTGAGTGACAGCTATACGACTACTTCACTACTGCTATAGACCTATAATAAGAGTAGTTATAAAACATCTATATGATAGTTTTATTATTACCGATATTGAAATAATTTTTAAAACAGATTTGTTTCAAGTAAGACATTTATAAAATAGTTATAAAAGTATTTTATTGTTTCTTATTTGTGGTATTCCAAACGCTATTTTGTGTACAATTTATACTGGTATAAAAATATTTTGTCTCAAAGATGTTACCAATAAAAATTTGGCATTATATTTCTAACTGAGAATAAATCAGAATTGTTACAGAAATACTATAACTGCGACAGTGGAGCCCATCACAAATGGCGTACCTACCTATACATCAGAAAATAATATTACTATATCATACACAATATGAAATACTGTTAAAGCCTCAAACATGTTGATTTCACTTGCCAATTTAATTTTTCTGTCAATATATAGGTATATTTATTAGCTAAATTTTCACGCGCCTGCATTTTGGGGCAAATTATGATTTTTAATCGAGTTATTATATTTCACAACTTGAAGATGGTAATTACAAATGACAACAACTCTTTGATAATTATATTTTTCTCGGTATTCTGAATGTTTTTCTTATACAATGTTTCAATTTTTTTATTTTCTTATGGAATATTTAGTTTTATTTCTCAAACCTAATGTAATGGCCGACCAAAAGTGGCCTGCCAATATGGACGAATCCGATATATCATATTTGTCACAAAAAAACACAATTATAAGACAAATTAGTCACGAATAAATCAAATCTAATACAAATTTGCTTAATCCTGGTTCCCCTTAAACTCTTAAAAATACAAGGTTGTCAGATCTATGTCTCATATTAACACCCAGTCACTAACCGTTCTTGCATATTCAAAACCACGCAATCGGCGCAATACTCACATAACTATAAAGGGCATTGAAAAAAGGTAGTGATATTTAACATTTTTTCTGTGAAAGCACCCCAAATACTAAGACAATTTAAATCATCATAATAAAAATATTTCTCTATGAATACCTACACCTAGTACACCTACACCTTTTTGGCATACACTTGTATAGGAATAAACATGACGAGAGTTAGGAACTTTCCTAATCACCATACATAAAAAATTTAACATACCTACTAGTTACTACAAAAATAAATACAACGTGTAATTAAATAAAGTCATTCGGGCATGTGTTTAGGCGCTTTATAGTTCTTACTCTAAGGAAAATGTGTAATAGTCTGCAACATTGTAAACGATTTCACCAGGAACGGACGAATACTATATGTAGACAGGGCCGCCCAGGCGCCCACGCGCATGGCAACCCGAGGATATTTAAGTTGTATAAGTGTTTTATAATAATGTCTTGTACCCTCGAAATCAAGTATTCTATAAACCATTTTTATAGAATGTTCTCTTGGTTTACCTCTAGATTCCTATTTAAAATTAGCAAGAATATGGTGAAACTTTAACGCTTTAGGGCCAAATTTTATAACGTATTTATTTTGGCAATTGCCTAATTATACTGCTACGGCTAGTCAGCTTCAGTTCGGCGGCCATGGGTCTATGGGTTCCTTGTATACATCTTACCTTTGGGCGCCACCAAGTCAATTGTGACTTAACTAGGAAGATAACCTAATGATGTTATAAACAAAACCTGTGCAATTGGAGAGCTTATCAATAAAACAACTAATTAGGTACAATAATGTATCTGGCTTCTTTATTAAAAATAATAACAAAATATAGGGATAGCCAGGAGGTTATTAAAAATGTGTTTAGAATAATGCTTGTACCAATTTATAAATATTTGATTATAAAAAAAAAATAAGAATGTAAATAATGTATAAAAATATTGATTTTTAAATAAACAGTTTTAACTGTCTGTTTACACTTGTGAAAGATTAGAACCACAATATCAGTTACACTCTACCAAGAGGCAAATTCAACACCAGAAAGGTGAAAATTATTGTTAGGGCAACCTCAGGGTAAAATTCTAGAATTTTATTTAAGGGGCAC